ACTGCCCCCATGACTGACATGGCATGGGGAGACTTTCATCCAACAGTGGATTGAAAAGGGGCAGGGATAACTTTTTTTTATGAAAATACTGTCGTAATAAATGAGACGCAGATAGATGAAAACGCGGTTTTGAGAACATTAGGTCAAGATGTTATGCAATCTGCTAAGTGTGCATGAGAAGGACTCATCTCTATAAGGTATGATGCCTTGGTGGTCAAGAATAGTGGTGGAGTGGCAGCCAATGAATGGAACGCATCAGAGATAGAGCACATCCACCGAGGAGATGGAGCATTGAAATCAATTCATGTGCAGGTGGCTCGGTGGATTATTACATCGCAGCATCATGAGATTGAGATGGCAGCGGCTTTGGGGGGATTAAACATGGGTGCATTATGAGGATGACAAATATAGCAGGTAATACACGTAGTCCAACTTGAACTTGTAACGTCACATTCAGACGTGTCAGGCGACACTCGGAGTGGCAAATGCGCCTGAAAAGAGCGAGCCCTTTGTGGAATGAGCCAATGAGTGAGTGTATGAGTGCCGTGACTCAGTAGACCAAGCCCCTCTCACCGCACGTGGTAGCATACAGTGCAGTACTAAACACAGTAAGCCACCAGATAACGTGAAAGTACGGAGAAGATTACTTGTCTACTTCACCACCCTCAACAGCCCATGCTGACCAGTGTGGGGAAGTTTGATCACCGTAACTCCCATGACCTACGTAGCGTGGGGCAGGCCCTCATCCAGCAGTAGATTGACAGCAACAAAAATCCCCAAACACCAAATCCTGGTATCCAATGAAAATTGTGAGGCTTATTCAAATATTGTAGTTTTCACCCCAGCCTGTAATGTTAACAACACTGTATACTTAAGATTATGTACATACAATTACAAAATAAACATGAACTCATACAGCAAACTTATTTGTATTATTGAAACACGTGTTTATTAAAATTCCCCTCGCCTTGTACATGGCGCATACAAATTCAGGTTTGGTCAAAGCGTGTGTGTACGTTACAGACAGCTGCTGTGACACAATGGACAAAGGAAATAACCGTGCTTTAAATGCGCACTTTAATGTTGACGTATAACAACTCTTTTTATAACTTTGGGTGGCTGTGATGGGGATAACAAAAACCCGACGGACTTCCTCGACCGGTGGTGGCCGAAGTTCATGTCAATAAGCAGCAACACAATTGTCACCACACGACAGCGATCACCATCAGAGAGTGTGCTGGCGCTGTCCACAAAGCCAGCTGGAAAGCTTGAAGCTGCGTACCGATTAAACGGGGGGGGGGGGGGGGGCTCTTCCCATGTTGTAGAATAAGGTTGGATTGGGGGGGTTCACCAAATATCGGCTCGAATTCAGGTCCTGATAAACGTAAACAATAATTAATATTAAAAGCGAATTAATACCACTGATATTCATCATCTGTACATCCCTTTCTGGCATTGCCCCCCCCTCTCTCTCCAATGAGCCAGCCATCAACAACAAACAGGGGCGGAGCCAGGATTTTGACTTTGGGGGGTGGGGGGCGACTTCAATATTCTGAGATATCCAGTGTAATGTTTTCCAATGGGCGCCACAAATGTATAAAACAAATTTTATTGGATTTGAACGCAGAGTTTATTAATAGGTCAGAGCCGCTGATGTGGCTAATAAGTTCGATAAGTTCGAAAGGCTGCCGCTCAAGCAGCCTGCAGGGCAGCACAAGGTGGCAGCCTGCAGGGCAGCACAAGGTGGCAGCCTGCAGGGCAGCACAAGGTGGCAGCCTGCAGGGCAGCACAAGGTGGCAGCCTGCAGGGCAGCACAAGGTGGCAGCCTGCAGGGCAGCACACAAGGTGGCAGCCTGCAGGGCAGCACACAAGGTGGCAGCCTGCAGGGCAGCACACAAGGTGGCAGCACAAGGTGACAGCACAAGGTGGCAGCCTGCAGGGCAGCACAAGGTGGCAGCCTGCAGGGCAGCACAAGGTGGCAGCCTGCAGGGCAGCACAAGGTGGCAGCCTGCAGGGCAGCCCAAGGTGGCAGCCTGCAGGGCAGCACAAGGTGGCAGCCTGCAGGGCAGCACAAGGTGGCAGCCTGCAGGGCAGCACAAGGTGACAGCACAAGGTGGCAGCCTGCAGGCAGCACAAGGTGGCAGCACAAGGTGACAGCCTGCAGGGCAGCACACAAGGTGGCAGCCTGCAGGCAGCACAAGGTGGCAGCCTGTAGGGCAGCACACAAGGTGGCAGCCTGCAGGGCAGCACACAAGGTGGCAGCACAAGGTGACAGCACAAGGTGGCAGCCTGCAGGGCAGCACATAAGGTGGCAGCCTGCAGGGCAGCACACAAGGTGGCAGCACAAGGTGACAGCACAAGGTGACAGCCTGCAGGGCAGCACAAGGTGGCAGCACAAGGTGGCAGCCTGCAGGGCAGCACAAGGTGGCAGCCTGCAGCATTTTGCAGCAGCCGGATATCCGGTTATCACGATTACCGACTTTCCCAAAATTTCAGGGGGGGGCTAAGCCCCCCCCAGCCCCCCCTGTGGCTCCGCCCCTGACAACAACAACCAACTGCACTTCCAAACACGGCCAACAACAGTGACGGACTGTGTGGGAACCGGTCCCTGGGCCTCCCCTCGGTCGACTCGGCCTCAAATGAGTGGCCTGGTGCGGTGCGTGGTTAACATCGCCACTGGGGAGACGAAGGCGGCCGGCCGTAACGTCGGCCACCAACACCGTCTGTGTTGTACCGTGCCGGCCTGCGTACGTGCTCGCTAACATCACTTGCCCTCAGCGTTTGTTTATAGATACCAGACTGATTACGGAATGACAATTTCCACTCAATGACTGTTTGACTACAATATTGAAAGTCAGGTGGGAACAACGTGCAATCAATCAGGAGCGTGTCAAGCTATTTAATAGGCGTATTGAGATTGCTGGGTGATATGTAGAGGCTTTGAAATACAATTTTGCTTTCTAGTGAACTTTCTCCCCATCTCATTTGAGCGGGGTATCTAGAAATGGGACCACACTACAGCACACAATTAGGGCCCATGAAGACCACGAGACATCAGGACCTCTTGAGTTATGTGGAAATTTTTCGAAAGGGAAACTCCCGTGCCATACGGCAAAAGTGAAGTTTATCTGAATTAACATTAGCAAGTGGTACACGTACGTACATACATACACAAATTACATGTAAAGGGACCTTTCGTGAATCCACTGTTGGGGTGACGATGATGATTATGATGATACCACCTCTTCCTACCTTACGCCGTGTTTGGGACATGGGGTGGTTGTTGTTGTTTGACCCTAAATCAGCAGGCTGGTCACTGGGTTCAGATGGTAGCCGTGGCCAGGAATCGAACCGGGGTCACTGAGCTCATAGGGCAGTGTTCGAACCACCACGCCACACATCACGCAAAGCTTAAAATAGTCCACGTCGGGTTAATGTTACCGAGCTACGGATGGATATGCCAGAAAGGCTTGCTCACATTTGCCTACAATTACAGTCTTTATAACAAGACATCCAAAATTGTTCTCAGTTGTAATGGGACACAAACAAAGTATAAAAAGGGCGCCGTTAGCGAAACAAGTCGCCGACCATTGAGAGTGGCGTTAAAGCCGATACAAAGTGGGGCTGAGCTCGCTTACAAGTTTATATACTTATACAGTCCACCGTGCTGGCGTGGACTCATTCACACCAGGGTACAGTTTTACCGTCTTGCACACACACACCATAAACAACGATTACAAAACTGCCGGATATGAGACATAACCAACCACGTGTCTACACACACACACCACAGTCACACATGGATAAAATACTAAACTACAGCATTACGAACACTACACATACCAAAGGCCACACTATACACACACATTACAAGCGCACTATAATTAGTACAGTACTGTAGACCACACGACACACACACACTACATACCCAGCACTATGCACTGCACCCCCGATGGAGGCCACATTGCCAAAACTTCCCGCTCCAAGATACGCAGCCACACACACACACTACGTCTCGACTACGCATACCACTCACGCACAATATAGACCAAACTATACACACACGTGCTATAAGATCACCGTACCTACAAGGCGCACGCCACGTGTCTACACACACTATAGACACACACACTATAGACCACACTGCCTACAAGACACACGCCACGTGTCTACACACACTATAGACACAACCACACACACACACTATAGACCACACTACCTACAAGACACACACGCCACGTGTGTACACACACTATAGACACAATCACACACACTATAGACACAACCACACACACACACTATAGACCACACTGCCTACAAGACACGCGCCACGTGTCTACACACTATAGACCACACTACCTACAAGACACGCCACGTGTCTACATACACTATAGACCACACTTCCTACTTCCTACAAGACACACACGCCACGTGTCTGCACACACACTATAGACACACACACTGTAGACCACACTGCCTACAAGACACACGCCACGTGTCTACACACACTATAGACACAATCACACACACTATAGACACAACCACACACACTATAGACAACCACACACACACTATAGACCACACTGCCTACAAGACACGCGCCACGTGTCTACACACACTATAGACCACACTACCTACAAGACACGCCACGTGTCTACATACACTATAGACCACACTTCCTACTTCCTACAATACACACACGCCACGTGTCTACACACACTATAGACCACACTGCCGACAAGACACACGCCACGTGTCTACACACACTATAGACACACACACTGTAGACCACACTGTCTACAAGACACACGCCACGTGTCTACACACACTATAGACACACTCACACACACTATAGACCACACTGCCTACAAGACACACACGCCACGTGTCTACACACACTATAAAGACACACACCGTAGACACACACGCCACGTGTCTGCACACACTATAAAGACACACACCATAGACACAGTACCAACCCAAAGAGACCATCATCTCACCGTTGACAGGAGAGGTTCCAGCACCGGCGTCCCCCGATACTGCGCGTCTCTTCGCTCATAATCCATGCCGTCCGCTGCTCGCCACCGACTCCTTTGTACCCTGAGCGGATGGTGGTGGTGGTGCTGATGACGATGATGAGTAGCAACGTTGGTGGGGATCGTTGATGACTATAAATGTAGAAGCAGGACAACTAACGGCAGCAAGTAGCGAGTGGCGCGACCACCACTTGAACTCACTGGACTCGCGGCTCACGACTGGGACGCTTCATGCGCCGGCGTGCGAAGGACGCGTGTGAGTGCCTGTCTGTCTGTGTGTGAGTCGAGTGTCTGTCTGTGTGTGTGAGTCGAGTGTCTGTCTGTGTGTGTGAGTCGAGTGTCTGTGTGTGTGTGAGTCGAGTGTCTGTGTGTGTGTGTGAGTCGAGTGTGTGTGAGTCGAGTGTCTGTGTGTGTGTGTGAGTCGAGTGTCTGTGTGTGAGTCGAGTGTCTGTGTGTGAGTCGAGTGCCTGTCTGTGTGTGTGTGAGTCGAGTGTCTGTCTGTGTGTGAGTCGAGTGCCTGTATGTCTGTGTGTGAGTCGAGCGCCTGTCTGTGTGTGTGAGTCGAGTGCCTGTCTGTGGGTGTGAGTGTGAGTCGAGCGCCTGCCTCTGCGTGTGCACGCTTGAACGTTCGGCTCGGGCGCGCCGTTGTGAGTGTGGAAGGCGTCCCCCCTTATGACTGGTCCGCATCCTCCCCCTCCGCCTCCTCCTCCTCCGATGGGCGTCTTCTGCTCGCACCAATCGCCGCAACGTGTGGGTGAAGGCGACGCTCGTCTCACGCTCGCGTTGCGGGGTGGGACGTGGGGTGGCTGGGTGGGCGACAGAGACATTGACGTGGGAACGACGAAGCGATCCTGGGCTGCACTCACCTCTAAAAGAACAATTCCGAATAGACACACACTTGGTGGGTTAAGTATGGTGAAACAAACTCCCACGACTGACACGACCGTGGAAAGGCATTTACTGGTAGGAACGAAGTTGTAAACTGAGTGTACCAGCCTGCAATAGATTAATGTGTCCGTCCGTCCCCTTTCAATACTTTAACGAAGTGAAATCTCGTGCTGTTGGGGTGTAAAAATAAAATTGCGCAAAATTCCAATGTTCCTACCAGCCCACCCTGCAGGGACCTGTTCCAGACGAGTGGGGTTGGGGGGTATGAGGACCAGGGCAAGTTCAGATATCACTTACCCACTCATGCTGTCCGTGGTCGGGAATGCAACTTGGGCGGGCGGGTTCATTGCGTTATGAGTTCACATGTGCTTAACGAAGGTGTGTGTATATATAGAACCTTAATGGAATAATCCATGAATGTTTCATTGATTTATTTTGGCTTAAACCAGGCACGTGCGCAACATGTATATAATAAAATATGATGCTGCGCACACGCACATTTAGTGCGAGTAATTTATATTTTAACTGCAACGCTATTAACGTCAGACTCAGACTTTATTTCAGCGGATAAGGTCCATTGAGATAAGCACAGCTCTTTTACAAGGGGGCGACCCGAGACCCCTACGCCGTCGGCAGTGGCGGCTGTGAAAGGGCATTGCGGGGAGGTAACGAACAAACGAGATGCCAGTTTCGACAATATTCCAAAATATTAAGTAACAGCCCCTCTATGCATGGGTAAGTAGGGTCGATGGTGTGGAGGGACATCACTATTTCTATAACACTCCCACGAGACACACACACACGCCATTCTAGAACACTCACACATGAGCATTCCTGCCAGTGCCCTCTATTGATCGGACACTGACATAATGAGTCCTCTGGCCAGTTGAAAGTTCTTGTGGCCACCCCACCACCGCGTGCGCGCAGTGGCGGCGAGCCTAAGAGGTGTTCGCACACAGCACTTTCCCCAACAACATTGCATAGGCAACACGGGGGTGGGGGGTCTTTGTGTCGTGGCTGTGGTTTTTATTTGGCACTCCGGTGACACGCACTGTGAGCGCACCAAGCTAGAACCCCGGTAACGTGGGTTCCATTTCCGACCACGGCTAATGATATATAATCGGCGAGTGATATCTTAACCGGTTCTAATCCCTCCCCTTGGTCTGTTCAGTCTTCAAGTAACCTGGTGCGATGTGTAAACACGAGCAGTGGGGAGACAAAGGCGGTCGAAAGTGGGGATGGCCGTAGCACGTCACCCTTGTACGGCGTCCTAGTGGCCTTCATTGGTGGCCACGAATGACGCTTTCCACAACAGCCTGTGCGGTTATACACGGGGGACCTTTGTATTTGTTCTAGCTTTTAACGCACCACTAAAGTGTGAATCATATCTCATAAAGACTCTCTGTGAATGTTATAGAGGGGAGGCAGCATCAAAATGTAAACAAAGGAACACATCAAAGAGTGGGTTTGGGAAATATTCCGTACACAAGATCACCTATATTGCCTTGTGTTGAATCCCAATGATGATAGGTATGTGTAGTCCTAAAATATTTACACTGTGTGTGCGTGACTGTGTTTTGTTCCAAACTCCCATGGCCATTTGGTGACACTCATATTCATCACGCGGAATGCGCGCCAGAGATCTCTGAAGCTAAATGAGGGTTGAGTCTGGATGGCTACCGGATGGGTTGACCGTATTGTGCAAAAAACAGGTGCAATAGAAATTACGGACGCTAGAAGACATTGCAGAAATATCCCACGGTTGGTTTGCACTCTCTTGTCCCACCTTCACCAACCCGCACTGACCAGCGTGGTGATGTATGGTCAAATATCTCCCATGGCTCGCAATGCGTGGTGGGATGGCCCCCTCTCTCACCCAGCAGTGGATTTACTAAATTGGGCCGGACATGTCATTAAAACCCAGTGTGTGTCTTTTCGACAAAAATTTAGTTACATTTTCTGGAGAGAGGAAAAAAACCGACACAAAGAATTTTCGATTCACGATGTGTACAAAAATACAAAATTGCGCGAAAAAACTGTACGTTTTCTTATTTTATTATTTTATTGTTTCCCTTCTATGTAGCTTTACCGAAAGGACCAATAATATGTACAAAATAGGTTAACTTAAAGAGGAAAAAAATCAAGTTCCCTGACCGGGAATCGAACCCGGGCCGCGGCGGTGAGAGCGCCGAATCCTAACCACTAGACCACCAGGGATCCTATACACCGCCCAAGCAGTGCTCTATGTATACAACATTCCAACGTGACTATGTGTGGTAAAAATAAATCGTCATTATGACGATTACTGTAACATGTAAGACTGTTGTTTTGCTGAAAGTTCTACAAGATACACACGCAGAGTTCGTAGAACGAAAGGGGAAATGGCAGCTTGAAGGGAGATGGAGGATAATGGAGCTCAGTTTCGCCCCCTATAGGACGCCAAGGGTGATGATGACTCCGATAATTCACACGCGCGTCCCTTCTGTCGGATGGATTGAGACCGTTCTTCCTTCCCCACGCCATGCGAGTTATTGGGCCATACTTCATTCACCACGCTGGTTAATATGGGTTCGTCTAAGCGAGGGGCTTATTACAATGTACAATCCACCAGTGGAATTGGTTGGGCTTGCCCTCTGATGCGCACAAAAGCTTGCAAACCCTGGTATAGATTTAACAACACACAAAGGCGCGCAGCATTGCACGTATCAAAAAAAAACTCTTCGGCCTTATCCAGACCACCAGCTCAACGTAACTGCGTGTGTGTGCGTGTGGTAATTTCTACGCTTAGAATGTATCCAACCAACTTAAAGGAGCTGATAAAATATGGCCACATCACTACGCGTAGCCATGACGCAACTTTAGACCCGGTTAAACCCTCATTAGGACCCATGAGTAGGGTACAGAAATAAATGTTTTTTGTCACGGCCATTTGCCTCTGGTAGAATCCATATGTGTGCATAATGGTTACATGGGTCTCAAAAAGAACTTAGAAAGTGGGATAACTGAAACAATTTTACTAAAAAAAAAGCAAGTTCCCTGACCGGGAATCGAACCCGGGCCGCGGCGGTGAGAGCGCCGAATCCTAACCACTAGACCACCAGGGATCCTGTACACCGCCCAAGCAGTGCACAACGTCTCTGCTGAGCCTCCGAGATTCGACGAGATGTGTGTGCAGGGATATTGAACTTAATAAAGAATTAAAGCTTTCGTGACTGCATAAATTACTCATTGTTTTTTTTTCGGTAAAGTCACATATGTAGAAATACCACAAAATTACATTAAAAACAAATCAATCACGACGTTTCGACCACAACACAAGCGATCTTCATCAGGTGTAAAAAAAAACAAATAGCACATAGGATGACATCAACGCAACACATAGAGAGCGTTAAACTGCACGGAGGTAAATACAACAAGAAGATGAGAGACGAGAATTCAACAAACTTAAGAAAAAAATGTTTTACGTGATACAAAACCAGTCGGCCAACGACACAGTTAGACACTTGCCTGGCAGACCACGAATTTCAGAAGAGTGCTAAATTTCGTGTTCATCCTCTGTGTCGTTGGCCGACTGGTTTTGCATCACGTAAAAATGTTTTCTTAAGTTTGTTGAATTCTCGTCTCTCATCTTCTTGTTGTATTTACCTCCGTGCAGTTTAACGCTCTCTATGTGTTGCGTTGATGTCACCCTATGTGCTATTTGTTGTTTTACACCTGATGAAGATCGCTTGTGTTGCAGTCGAAACGTCGTGATAATTTTATTGTTTTATATTTTTATTATTTTATTGTTTCCCTTCTACGTGACTTTACCTAAAGAACCAAGAATATGAATCCCTGCAGTCACGAAAGCTTTAAATCAAAATTTAATTTTATACCTGTTAACCCATACGGTTTACCAGTATTCTTGTACAGGGAAATTGAGTTTTCAGGTCCATACGATGTACAGGCGTTTCAACGCGAGCAAACAAATATTTATTTGTGTTTCTCCCTTGTGATAAGACTTTGTAGAATGAACATCGAGATTTATAAGGGCACGGGGTGGCCAATAAGGTCTGAATCGGTCTGTAATAAGGCAGGCACTGATAAGGGGTTGACAGCTCCAATGACTTCCTAATAATCGGGTACATTCCGGGAGATTTTTTCGCAGGTTGACAATACGTGTAACATCAATACGGTGCTGTAATCATGATCTTTGTCTCGGGAAAAAGCTTGCTGAGTCTCAATACTTTTAAAGAGGGGGGGGGGGGGGGTCCTGCTCCGTTGGTTATGTTTGGCCCTATCTATTAGTGGTTGTTTGTTGGAGGAAACAGGAAAGGCCGGAGTAAACCCAACGCACATGAGGCATAATACTCAAAAGTTGTACACGTGATGAAATATATCCGTGCGGCGACCTTCCTTCTCCTTCTGCATATCCACACGTACATAGAAATTGATTCCACCGGAGTACTCTATTCGCCTTCCACCCTTACCTTA